CATTGCTGTATAGTCAATGCCTCGACCAACAATGTAGAAGTCTCAAGCAATATAAGCAGTAACATGGTTTTGCACTCGGATAGTGACAGCATATATATGTTGGTGTTGTTATGGGAAGTGTATATATATATATATGTATATCGTACAACTACGACCGTAATTATGCATACAATATCAGAGACATGAACGAAAATATTTTTAAGACCATATAAATCATAAAACGTCCTTGTCACCGAAGTCTTCTACAGTTGGATGTTTTAACCAATCACACCGAAAGCCATTCGTCGTCGTAAATTTATAAACACTAAGAAAATTTGTTGTTTTAAATTCATGTAAATAATTTGGCTATTGAAACACCTTGTCCTAGAGAAACTTAGTACTGGAGGCGCAATCTCTAAAGCGATGGTTAGTTGACTAGTTTGCTTTACGTTTTACTACAAACAAACTTGCATAGTCGGCTATCCATTCAATTGACTAGCCAAAATGTTCTGTTCAATGTACTGAGATAATTTTGCTTTGTTAGAATTTTTTGAAGCTTGTTGAGATGTAATGAAATACAGATATCTTAAGTGTGAATAATTTCGACCCCGGGTTATTCACTTCTGAATTGAATGATTACAGAGGTACTATCTGCATAATTCTTGCGTAAACACCAAATGGCGTATGTATAGGACACAAAATTATGAAAGTTCTTACATCACTTTATACCCTTGTTACTTGAATGTATAATTACTGCTTCGTGTTTCAGGTCCTGACATAACCACACGCCTTTAACGTTAATAACGTGTCGTAAACACTAACGCGAAGTTTTCTGGTACACTATACCATGGTTACGGTTGGAACAAACGTGGCACTCATGTACGCCTCTATCTCACCAGTAGTTAATCGTTACAGTCCATTGGAACCCGAAATTTCAGAGAAGAGGTCATTGAGAATTGTTTTGCTAGGTGTTGTTAGTGGCTAAAATAAGCTATGAACTGCGCGGAGCTTCTGAGAAGGGGCTCTCTGTACAGTTTCCTTCAAGCTTCTAATACTAAACTTCACTAGTTAAGCTACATACATGAATTCAGTCTAGCTGCATGAAGTACTACAATTGGTAATGGTGTTGAGGGCGAAATCGTATATGTACTTCGAACTGAAGTGGGTGTGAAATTTCAACCGCACAGAATGTTTTAGCTCAGAAGTTTTATGAACTGACTCCTCTGAACATCATATTTACGAGCACTAACTATTCTTTATATGAAATTTCCCTAATTTATATCACAGTTGTAGTGCTCTAGGCATCTAGGCTAAAATAGGCGGATTTCTTCACAAAATAGTCGTAATCTTTGATCTATAGATTTGTACATAGGATAGTAAGGCATCGTAGAGCAGTGTATTTTAATAAAGGTTGGTGAAAAACTAGGTTCGTGCACTATTTATCTCTTAACAATTCTTAACTTCACATGTACCACTAGGCAGGAATCTGGATTCAATCTTCATGTATTTATTTGTGTACTGGTTAACCAGCTTTAGGTAATTGTCCACCAAGTGCACTTAAGATATCTCCCATGCTTACACTGACACATGTTCGTACGTAGTGGAATTGACCGATAACCTAGAATAAGCTAGTTTCCAAATCCGGCGTATAGTTAATATCCCCTGTTCCCCACACCACAAAAGTACACTTTTCCAAGTGCTTATAACGAAGATTGGATTAGACAAGATCTAGATGACTTACACGTGTCACTGCAGAGTTCAAGTTGTAATCGCTTGAGGTTAGTCACGCAGTGATTTCGAGTAGATTTCGATCCCACAGCAAATTTCTTTTCCTGCCTTACAACTGGTGATGAGAATCTGCGGAGCAAGGTGAATTAAGTTGTTCGTAGGGGCAACGTTTTCTAACTCTTGTTAAAAAAAACTACATCATCATTGCTTTCCAAGATGAAAGTTTACTCCCACCGTGCCCCTGCAGTCAGCTACAACATAGGACCAGGCACATATATGTATCGGTAGAAGTTGCCACACCTCATTAGCACAACAAGATGAACATCAAATTTATAAAAGCAGATACTTCACTGGTAGTAGTGTATAAAAAAGATTGTGTCTAAGGATATAGCACAGGAAGAAAGAATTAGTCGGTAGAAAGTAAGATATAAAGCAATTTTAATCTCACTGTTTGAGGGAAGACTTTTTCCATTTTTGTTTGACTTAATCATAGATCTACTGATGGAAATAATGCTTTAATCGACTTAGAATACGCAGATGACATAATCCTGTTTAGTGAAGACGATGATAAAATTCAGTCGTTTAGTAGCACTGAGCGTCGACAACTTCACTTATCTTGGAAGTCTGATTAGTCCTAATGAGTTGGTGCCTGACGTAATCTCTGTACGGATCCAGAATGCTCGTTTGGCTTTTGCCAATTTGCGTCACCTGTGGTCCTATGTTGTAGCTGACTTAGTAGCCATCACTATTTCTCGACTGAGTCTTCACTATATCTGAGACAGACCACTATGTCACTATCACCTGCTCACAGGACATTTGTTCAAACAGTTTCTTTTATTTAGTTATTCACAGTATCGCTCGATTTACAGAGTGCAGCGTGGTTTTGGATTTTCACTAATTAGTCATTAACATCTATGTTGTGATGTTATCTGCATTCTGAGAACGATTGTTCAATGGTTGAAATGCTCAAATTCCCACCACTAAGCCAGTCTTGATTTTAGCCTCATATTTCAGTTTGAATAATCAGATAATCTCATTAACCAACGAAAATAAATAAATAAAACCGTAAGTGGGCTGCATAATTGACTGATTAATGTGATTTTTTGTCCTAGGGGATTCAGATTTTATTTTTAATCGGTTAAACTATCGAATCAGCCCCTATATTTATGATGCCCACATCTATGTTTTATTCAAATCTTGATTATGTAATCAGTGAATCATTGTGCCGAGTTATGCGTTATTTTCCAAGTATACGTTCATTCAGTAATCGTTTAGAGGAAAACCGTGAACTAACGTGTAAGTTCGGTTATAAATTCTAGTTTATTGCTGCCGATCATCAGTTTAAGTATAATGATTTCGAATAAATAGTTAAATAATTTCATTCCACCCTATCTATTTAGGTGAATATTGCAAGTCAGTATTAGAAGTGCTGTCCATAGCTTGGTACATATAATTGCTGAACTGCATTTCACTACCTTTTTTAAGAAATTATTACATTGCATATAGTCTGTCCACATCGTTTATACCTTAATTTTCTGTTATTACCTCAGAAGCGGGTTCCACAATATATGTTTACACATCATATGTTATTTGCATTAGTACAAGGTATTCCTCCCTCTCAAGACTCTTCAAAAGAGTGCATAGCCTATGTTCAGTGTTCAGTCAAGATCAAAATAGTGGTTGGGTCTACTTCGTATTTACAAATACAGCGTTGCTTAAGTACTTGTTTTAATGTTTGATTTTAGAATACGGAGTAAGATAGTTGAGGACGTTAAACATTCTGTCAGTCAGTCAGTAACAACGTAGAACTTCTTACATTCGTACATCAGTTCGAGTTGCCATACCACATTAGCACAGAGATGCAGTTGTCGATTCAAATCCCATTGTGGTAGAGGTAGTAAGAGTATAAGCAGTAGTTGGAAAGATTAGGGTTTGAAGATGTTACTTAAAGGGTATAATCCAGTGAAATAAATTTGGAAAGAGAAAAAAAGACAAGGAATATTCTACTTATTTTGTCACTTTTGATCAATTGAGAATTGTTAAACTTCAAAACATACATGACTAAACGTTCGATTGGGATTGTGTATACTTTTAGCCATGATAGTTCTGACCTTTTGGAAGAAAGTTAGGGGCGGCCAAACCAAAATGTGGCATCAGTGCTTGAAGACATTAACTTCTAGTCTGAACCATGTTGGTAGATGCAGACTACTTGGTTGGGGTCCGCGTGACTTTCGTAATCGATGGTTAGAGACTCTTAGTGACATGGCTCAGAATCGGTCACAATGGCGTCGGTGTGTACACTCCCTGTCTTCCCTTAAACTAAGAGATTAAAATTATTTCATATCTTTCTTTCTATACTATATCCTTACATAAAATCTTTCCTTTATTTATTACACCATTTAGTTAACTTTTTCTATGAATCCGGTGTTCATCTTGCTGTGCTAATGCGGTATGGCAACCTGGACCGATGCATATATGTGCGTGGTCCTACGTTGTAGCTGACTGACTGACTGACTCTGACCTTTTGAACGCACCCAGCTGTAAGAATGTTCAAACTTCTTAGTCACAAATAATCAAGTATGTATCCTTCACCAGATTTTGGGACTTCGACGTAATTAATGACGTCCTACGGGAACCGTATTCAGTGCCTCGTAGACTTCGTTCTATCATGGAGAGACACTTAAGAACTACATAAACTGAATACTGTTGATGGAATCAGAGCTTAAAGAGAACTATTATGTGAATCGGCAGGTCATATAACAGTGACTTTCCCCTGTAGTCTTGCGCTAATTTCAACCTATTTCTGACCAGCACGAACTTGCAGTGCTCTCATTTGCAGTGTGCCACCTGACGTACTTTATCATAAACTCACGCTGAGACTCAGTTTAAGCGCATTCTGATTAGCTACCACCGGGATGGTTGTATACAATACTGTCGCCTCTCTTAGGGTATCTATCTGGACTCTAAAAATGGCTTTGGTTTGCCATAAGCTTATCTTACTTTTGAGTGTTCAACAAGTTTATCGTCCTAAAAGGATTGATACGGGGAAATTGGCTTCAGCTTCCATTGCATTAAAAAATGTCAAACTGAGTTATGCTCAATGGTTAGTTAGTCCACGGAAAAGTGTAGATGAGCGTTGGCTGCATTTACATGATGCCATAAAAATGGTTGGTAAAGTCAATCGCGGCTTCAAGCATCATCTGAGTTATGATGTTTGGGTTTCTACAGGCTCCTTGAAGCTCTTTGAGTTACGTCACTCAATTCCAGAAAACGGGGAGTTCGGTGATAAGCGTGGATTCTTACATTAGAACGTTGTGTAGAGTTTGTGTGCAGAACGAGAAGCCTGGTGGTCTGAGTGTACTATTGAGTTAGAAACAGCAGCTGTATCCCGTAGATTATGAAAGCTGTTTCAACCCATCCATGTCATTAGAAGCATGAAGGCTGGTGTCACTGAAACAGCCTATAAATCTAGTAGGACGCCGATTATTAAGATATATTTTCGAGAAACAGTTCAACTAGTCTGTTGTCTAAGTAAAATCAATCAAACCACCTTGTTCTCCCTCCACCATAGCTGCTGACTTGACGTGGTTGTCGGGATCGCGTATTGTGATGACTCAACGGAGCTGTATTAGCTGGAACACATGTTCCCCTAGGTTCTGTCATGCAAGGCAGGTTTGTTGGAGGACGTTGAGATTAAA